AAAAGGGCTTTCAGCTCCTCCCAGCTAAAATGGCACAATCATCTGGAGAGGCCTGTGAAAATCAAGACCACCAAAGCCCCCCTCTGCAAATTTTCCTTCTGACAGCTAGACAGGATCATCACGCACTCCTTTCCCCAGGCAAATCTTTTCCTATCGAGGTGCCATCCCACCACGCTGATGATAAGTACAGCCTACGTTCAGATTTCTTGAAGTCCTTGCCAGAACGAGCTCTGGATTCTGTTTTTCAGCAGCAAAAATGAGGGTAGGGGATGGCCTCACTTGCCAGGCAGTCAGTATGAAGTCAGTATGACTGCAGATGGCCTCTGGCACATGCTTATGTGAAGAAGAGAAAGTTGCACCAAAGGAAGAATGGTTGAGCAGCTGCGGGAGGTCTAGGGGCTAAGGTGTGGAGAGACAGGGCAAGAGATGGAGATCTCCAGGAGAGGGGGATTTAGGAATAACAAAGAGAATTGAAGGCTTGAGAAATTCGCAGCGTGGAAGCCAGCAATGGAAGTCCTGGGGAGCTCTGCTTAAGGTGATAAAAAGTGCAGGGATTTGCTCGGTTGCTGAAGGCAGGTGGCAGGAATGACAGGTCCTTGGGTCAGGCAAAGATAGGCCTGAGGTGGGAAAAAGAGGGCTGGCCTATGATGGGAGGAATGAGTTCATCCTGCAGAGGGATGAAACTGGGTGCTGAGGGGCAAGGGTAGAGTGGGGTTGCCATTACCACAGAATATATTCCTGGCCCAAACTCTCCGCAGACACATACACGATTATTTTCATCTTTATTCTCTTCCATGGGACCACCAGGCACAGCCCTCGCTTTGTTCTCTTATTTGTTAACAAAATACAGAAGTCCTAATGACGGTTCAAATAAAAAGATCAGATTTGTTAAGGTATTTAGGTCCACATAAATGGTGATGAGACCTGCACTATTAGGTCCTACTTTTTTAGATTCGATGCACATCTGTTTTCTACCTTATCAGAGCTGACAATAGAAAAACTGTTACAAAAAAAGTCTTTTCAGCTTATTTCCCTATATGTTATCTGATTGTTTTAATATTAAATGGTACCTTACATAAAAAAGCAGTCACTGCTGGGAGTTTTACTTCATTTTTTGTATCATTTTGTATTTTACTAAATAGACCAAATCCAAAAATCTTCCAAGGTCTTCATGACTGCTTTTTCAGTTTGTAAGACTGAGAGTATGTGGCTGAAGTGTTTGAAGAAGGCATTATTATTTCTTTAGTGTGCAAGTTCCTGTTGATTTAGATCCTCCAGATAGTGTCCTTGGAGAATGCGGTATTGAAATGAAAATAGATCCATCTCATGAAGTTGTACTTACAACAATTTCAATTAACTTAGTGTGTGAGTAATGGAAAAGAGAGTCAGATTGTAATTATCTTCCTCAACTCTGCCTCAGAAGTATATGTTCAAAGCACCCAAAAAATTGTCAATATCCATACACTTTCAGAGTAACATTAAAGGTTAAATCTGATTCCCAATTATTCTGCTTACTTTATGTTAGATTTAATGAGAAAATAAAGTATTGAATGTAGGCTGTCAACAAGTGCCACTGCCTGCGTTTCGATTACAGCGTATAGGTCCGTTTCTAACTCTGGCATTAACATTGCAGCAGCACTGCAAAGGCAGCAGGGATCTTTCTCAATGTTCCTTGCAACTTTGAATAACTACCTCGGTGTCATGTAATTAAACATCTTACCACAGATGCTGATGCTACAGACTGCAAGTTCCTAGCTGTTAAAAATGTGTGCAGAACCACTCGCTCACTTACGTATACTCTCCTTTACCTTTACTTTAGTTAAAAAGACCCCCAAATCAGGTGTTCATCTAAGAGCTAATAAAGCCAAATACTGCAAAAAGGATCCTACAAGAAGAAAAAACAAAAAGGGCTGAAGAACATTTACCCTGAGATCCATCACAGCAAAAACTACCAGAAATCTTTTAGTGCTGCTTACAGAAAGAAAGGTGTTGACTACCAGCTGATTTTGACATGCTATTTTTTTTCCCTGAGTAACTGCAGACTATCAAGATTTTATAGCTGACTTTAAAGCTTTTTCTTGTTTGTTTGCTTACTCTCTGGCAAAATGACGGGCAAGAAAATTCAAGAGCATCAAGTCCTCTATTATGTATGACTTAAATAGCAAGTTGGAATCTTTGCAAGTGTTTAACATCTTTGACTCAGATTCAGTCACAAACAACTTACAGTTAACTGATCTGTACCATAATTGTATGCCAAGGTTTATAGAAGCCTTAATTGCTGGCAAGATTGACATTTATTTTACAGAAAGGCTCCCTATTCACAAAGTTTTAATTATAAAGCTAGGATTTGAAAACACAAGAGGAATGTGCCCACGAGTTTTGGTGGCAGAGTTAATTTGGTTTTAGAAATCAAAGGTTTCTTGCCAAGTTAAAATGAATAAAACAAAGCCATAAACCCTCAAGTGGACTGGCTTCATGGTTAGAGAGTAGTTAGAGCCCCATCAGGGCAATTGCAATTTGACTTAATCAAGCTAAGGAGAAGGAAAGGTGGTCTTCCAGAGCCACCCCATCATCTGGATACCTCTACTTCAAACCAGACAGGAAACAAAAAATGATGTGCTCAAATTCCACAAAGAAATCGTATCTTGAGGCAAATATAAGAAGCTTCTCAATACAACAGCAAGCTACTCATGGTACCTCTGGCTCTACAGACCAAGACAGCAGACAGCCTACCCAATTTACCTCCCTAAGCATTTAAGGAGTTCTAGGGGAAGGGAAATCAGCCAAATCATTAGCTGCTTAGCCAAACCTCACATGCTGTTCCCCTTTCTCTAGCCACAGCAAAGCAGTTGTTATGGGACTTGTTAGCAAGTCTATGTTGTATTTTCTGGTATTTTTCCATTACCATGACCTTAGAAGTCCAAAAGCAATGCTTCACCTACAAGATAATCAGCACGCTGTTCAAACTAAGGGTATCCATACAAGGTGCCATGGAGCTTGCCTTGCCTAAGTAGAGCAAGCTGTATGTATGCCTAGGTTGATGATACTGCTTCTGTACAAAACAAAACAAAACCAAGAAAAAAAAATGAAGAAAAAAAGAAGAGGTCAAAAGTGTTGTTCTGACATCAATTCTGGTGACCAAATTTGTTCACATGTTGGGAAGAAAAACAAAACAAAACAAAACACAAAGCCAGAGGAAGAACTATCTGGAAGGAAAGAGTCCTCATGGTTTTGTGGGTCAGTAGGTTAAGATATTGGTGGGTTGTGATCTGCATGTAGCAACATAAATGGAAGCGACATTGTGCATATCCAGAGGTACAAGAGGAAAATGGGGAGATCTGTCTGCACACAGATGTAGCATAAAGCCAATAACCAGAGGAAAAAAGCTTTTTTTTTTTGCTAGTAAAAGTTATTATATCTTTGAAAAAGCTTGTCAAAGGGCATAGCGAATTCATCACTACTTGATGGCATTAAATAGAGTGTGTTTTCAGAAGATGTGCTCCATTTCAGCCACAAGATATTAAACTCTACAGGACTCATAATTTGGAAGCTAATTCCCTCTCAGTGGAAGTTGCTGGATGAAGTTCGATGGCCTACTGCCATGCATCAGCTGGATTGGGTCATTACAACGCTGCCTCCTCCACCGCCCCCTCCAAAATTTAAGCAGCGTATATTGTACAAGCAGCAATGGAGGGAGGTGGGAAATTAATAGTATTTATCTTGGAGGCAAACTTAAAGCTCCCTCCAGACATCAGAGAGCCTCAAAATCCCAAACATTATTTCTTCTTAATTCTTTAGGAAAGTGCAAGCTTTTCTTTTGGCTTTTAAGCAATGAGCTATAACTATTTCCCGTTTCAGAAAAGAATGCAGAAAATGTTTCCATCTTAGCGATAATTAACTGAACAAAACTCACTGTTGTTGAAGCAAGTCTGTACCAGTATATTTTTAGCACAGACACATCCAACTCCATGCTGATTATAGTAATAATCAGCAAATAAATTCCCTTTTCCTTTGACAGGCTGATGGTTCTTCTGTAGGAAGGGAACTGGACAGGGCAAGTTATTCCCCAAAATTTCTTGAGACTTTAAAAACAAGCTAACATTTCACACCGAGCTGAAAGTTTCCACGTTTAGCCAGCAGAGTGGTTATTGGGGAAATCAGCTCAAACCTTGGTCCTTCTGGCCTAACTGCTGGCTGTGAGGGCCTCCCCAGCTCACAATACACTGCCGAAACACACCAGGCTCTGGAAAGTAGGTGCCAGCAGCAGGTAGCTTTGGCAAGACGCCTGGCAGATGAATTCCCACCTTCACAGCTATCTCAGTTGACCACTGCCATAAAATCATCTCCTTGGTAATGAGAAGCATACGATGTTTTTTTAACAGTGCACAAGTGCACAGAGTAAGGAATCCTATATGAAACAAAGAAAATGTTAGGTAAAAAGCAGCCAGGCTGCTCCTGGCCAGCCCTACCGTTCTGAAGTGCCTCCTCCCACCCAGCACCAATGCTGTGGCATTTGCTCAGCACTGACCCAGAGGGCAAAATGCTCTCTCTGAAATCAGTAATATTCCTGGGCGTCTCTCCTTTGTTCTTTTCGAATCTTGTCATTTAGATTCCAATTCAACCAGGCAGTGTTTTGTTTGAGATTCGACGGGAACCCAGGAAAATGCAGCACGAGTTACGTGTCTGAAATGTGCAGGTCTGAAGCAGTGCCCTAAAATTAGAGACTCTTGTCAGCGATAATCACCATAAACATTCCTTTTGCGCTGTGCAGGCACAAGATTATTTCTATGACAATACTTCTAGGACAGTTGATACGAAAACATGGAAACGTAATCTCGTTAGAGAAGATCTGAAGGTAGCTAAGGACACAAACTTCTGCAATTACAGCTTTGAGAAGATATAGTGCTACCACTAGTACCAATTCATACTGATTCCAGTCAAATGCACTGTGTATTAATTTACATCTGCGTAGATCCAGGAAATAAAGCACACGCAAAGACTGTTTTCAAAGTGTTTATTTTTTTTAAGATATGACGATTTTTGCTTTATAAATACAGCGGAGTATCTGGACAACAAATGATCTGAAAACAAAAGCAACCCCTTCCCCACTACTGGCATAGGGGTGCAATTCAAGTAGGCTCGCATTTCTTGAAAACCTTAAAGTTATAGATCCACACCTAAGTACCAGAAACATCGTTTGATAAACCAATTAATTCCCAAGTTTACCAAGACCGTTCTACCAGTGATCAGGCCAGCTCCAGCAACAGGCAGCCTCTCCTTCATGTGGAGAAGACATTTTCCCTCAGGCATGGCAAACCTCTCTCCCTCACCACCACATACAAGCTTAACCTGAGCTACAGAGCACTGCTCAGAGCAGCAGTGCCCCAGAGCATCCCATCCATGCCTGCTGCTGGTAGTGTTGCAACAGCAATCGGCTGTAGCAATCCTTTCCCTTTTGCTTCCTGCTCCTGAAATTCCAACTTTCCCCAGAGCTAAGGAACAGCATGAGGTCCTGAGCACACTCTGAGATTAAGCACAAAGCCCAGTGACAAAAACTCACAAATTAAGGACATTTTAGCTACAGGTTGCCAGCTAGGTTAGCATTTCTGTCTCATGGACAGATTCCTTTTGTCTGCAAAATGATGTTTGCTAGTAAAAACCAGTTCTCTGGATTCATCTAAAGCATACTTTTAAGAGTCTTGTGGGTTTCTTTCCTATAAAAGACATCTCAGCTGACGTACAAATGTCACTGACTCAAAAATAAAAGGTGTATACAACCCAACAAGGAAAGCAAAGCTTTTTTAAGGAAAGAAAACAAAAAAAACAGGGCAGTGAATAGAAACACAGAATTTGAGGTAATTGGAAGCAGTTATTTTCATGGATTCTGGCTACAGACTTTTTCATTACACAAAAAGCAGATGATGCATATAAAATGCTGTGTGTCAACTACTACAGGGCTAACAGACATTTGAACATTTGTATTTCGTATGTGCATCATCTAACAAAAAGAGCGAATATTTCAGAAAATCACCATGTGTCAGTCTCAGAAGTATAATTACTTTGCCTTCCTCAGTTTGTCCTCCAATGTATTTTTCTTATTTTAAATGGCAATTAATGGACCATATGAAGGAAATAACAATCTGTGAAAGTCGGTAATAAAACAGCAGAAGGAAATCCTAACTTTCTAAGCAAGTGTAGTGTTTAAAATATTGACATCATGTCAAGAATAAGCTTTCAGATTTCATTTTTGTTATCTAAGACCTGATGTGAAAACTTGATAAATAAATAAAAATATCAAATAAAAATATCAAATACATTTTAAAGATGAGCAAAACCAGTGCTTCTTCTAAAACTTATCATACACTCTAAATTGATAATTAAAAACATGAACATTTTAGCTAAACCAGTTACTGAAACAAGCACTCAGCCATGACAGAACTCGAAGTTTTCTAATTCTCAGGAAATAGCCAAGCTAAGAAACCTGATGCTGTGATTTCAAGCAGCATTACATTAAGCAGTTGGTCACCCCAACAGGATGGCACAAGGCTGCCACCTTGCGAAAAAATGCAAACCAGCATTCAGGGAGCAAAAATCAACAGTCTGCCTCTAGACTATGGAAGACTTTCCTACAGTATTTTAACAGAAGTAATCCTTTTGGTTTACCTACTCGCAATCAAAGGAATAGGTAAAAAAAAATCTTTCAGCATGCACATATTGCTTTTGGTGTAAAATTCATACTAATTTTGAACACAAACATGTTGTCAAAGGACTTTAGAGGAACAAAACCAATACAGAATACTCACAAATAACAGAAATACAGATTACTGTTTACAAACAATCTACCTACCTTCCCAAATAACCACCTATATGTAACTTCAAAAGTTTTCCATTACTTTTCTTGTGTTTTTCACCTCAAAACAATTCAGCCACACTGCGGCTGTTCAGTTCTCTGCTTGGGTTCTTCTGAGAATGATTGAAAAATCACCTTCTTTCTGTCTCAGGAAAACAACCTGAGCCTTTATTTTTCAATGGCAATTATAAAATTGTTAGCAGCATTTTCTTTTAATCTCAGACATTACATTTCAACAAATTACTGCAGCTTTTTTCTCTAAATGGATAGCTGATTAATAAAATTTACAGTGATAATTGTTTTAATGCTGTTGGAAGTAATTTCATTGCCAATTTACACCAGCGCAGGAATTAACCAGAAGTAATTCCCCCTGAAGCTAGAAGACCATGGCAACAAAACCAGGATAAACACAGCTCTTTCTGCATGTCTCTGCACCGACTAGGTCATGCATTACAAACAGCCACAATGGAAATATTGCAGAAGCAAAATACTAAGGTAAATTTTCCAAGAGATGCTCCAAGATTATCCAAGTATGTTAAACGAATTCTTATATCTAGATTTTAAAACTGCTACTGATACTTCTGGAATGTCTAGGAAACACTTTCTTTGCGATTAATCATAATGTAATTACAACCATCTTGATTTATGAAACTGAATCAGACTAATATTGAATGTTACCTGTAAAGTCCCTCTGGCTCATCAGCAAAAGTGAAAATACAGCTTTACTCCAAAAACAAATTTCTTCTTTCATGTTTTAATAATTCATGGATTTTCCTATTTCTTATTATAACTTGTAACTCATTTCAACTCAGCCTGATTTAACTTCACAAAAAACATTGAGAAGAATTGTACAGTTACATTAAAATATACAAGTACATTGGTGAATCCCATTATAAAGTATTATGCTGTCTTACAACGTTCTTAAAAAAACAAACTAATAAAACAGCTCACAGAAACCTCTCTCTATGTAATTTTTCCAGTATCTTTTAACATGGTCATTAGTCATTATCATGGTCATTTGTGGGTCTTTTGCATTCACTTTTCTTTATGAAATAAATGTTTAGTTGCATTAAATAGTATTTATCTAAACTAATTTCTTTTCAGAGGAAACATGGCTGCTATCTCAGTTGAGGGTAAGTTTGAAGCATAAGCACTCTTATCATTAACAGTGTTGATTAAAGGCATTCAAATACCAACATGGATAGACATCATGGACAAAATAAAACAGCCGTGCCCTATAGAAATACAGGAATGTTTTCACTTTGTCAAGGAAATGAACAACAGCTCCTCTATATAAGCCAAAAAATTCAGAGATCTTGAAGACAGGTCAAAATACTGTCCAGGGCCCCATCACTTCCCACGTTGCCCTTCCAACTCATTCAGTACCACAAGTTGAGGACACAAATGCAGTTGCACTGAAACATGCATATATGCTCTTTACCTTGTTTACATTTTTGTAATGTTATAGAAAAACAAAACTGGATGCAGAAGGCATGCAAGACTTCCCCCCAAACCCATCATAATAAAATCACTGCACAGCATCCTGGCTTCTGCAAGAACCATGCTGGATGCTTGAAAAGCAAACCAATTCAGGCTTCTCTCGGCCTGTCAGCTTGATATAAAGCCAAACAGGGAGTGATGGAAAATTGCTTTCCCTATTGTACGCACGTTGTCAGCAAATTACCATACTGGCAACAGGGCAAAAAGAAAGCAGTGACCTGGCAAACATTTCAAATGCAATATAAATAAACCTACTCATTGAGTAGCTTTAAGGTTTCCTTAGAAGAAACAGGGTCGCAAAGACAGTGGACAGGAGGATCCAAGCCAAGCACGCTCTTCATGGTGTTAGTACAGAGAAGGGCTCAGAGCCAGAACATTGATCTGTATACTATAAAGAAAACAAAAAATAACAGCACTGCTGTGAGTACTGACCTTTCGAAGCGCAATTCCATTTCAGAGTGACTGGAGTGGCAATAAGATAATATGTTTGCATAGATGTGACTGCAGTATTTTCATTACAGGGCAAGAAAGACCTTAGAGATGTTAAACAGTATGTGAAGCTTTGCATCTCCCCAGCACGTAATTTAGTTATATTTATAAAACCGCTCAACTGTTAACTTGAGGTGATCAAATATTTTTTAGTCTAATTAAAGACATTTACTGACAGGAACCATTACAGTACTCAAACTTCTTTTATTCTGAAGATAATGTGCTAGATGCTTTAAAAAAATCACATACATTGTATTTTACCTTTGTAAAACAAAATATATACTCCCTTGTTCCATTAGATTTGTACATATAAGAAAAACATTTAAAAGAACAATTCAGTAATGCCATTAGTGCTTATTTAAGATTGCACGGCAAAGATCTTAGAAACACCAAGTTCAACTTGGGAGTGTACTCATATCCTACACTTCAATACAAATCTGCAAGCACAGAACTTCAGGACATAAAAGCCTTATTATTTGGAAGGGTATTCATTATACCGCATTCCACTGTGTAACGACACATTTCAGTCTGACACACATAAATTGCTCCCCTTCTAATAGGCCACATTATCAACTGCAATTTATCTTTTGTTGTACAATAACATTTATTCCCCCAACGAAGGTAGATGCATACAGCTTCCACTGTATTTTCTAAATATCAGTTTGAAGTAAAATTTTCCAAATGTCCTAATCATTAAAGAGCCTACATTCTGTTTGCAAAACTAATGTAAGCGTTTATTGACAAAAAAACTCATGAAAATTCAGTGGGACGTAGGTGTTTTTGCAAACATTATACTTTAGCAGTGTTTCATACCTTGACCTTTAGCAGCCGTAGATGGAAGCGGCCCGTTCCAGTGAGTAAACATGCACCCAGAAGTAACAAGGAGGTTAAACACTTAGGTACTCTGTTTTAAAGAGAAGCCTCTGAAACATCAACTGTCATATCTTTAAGTACATTAGAGAATATATTATAATGCGAAATGACTGTAAACATCCCCCATATTTCACATTAATTACTGGAAAGTGTTCTCAAATTTCCTCTCCTACTGAATTTGTTAATTCCAGGAGCTCAGAAATTCAGTATTTATAATACCTTCACTTTACGAGATACCAGACCTCACATTCAGTTCCAAGAACATATGCAACTTCCTTCCTTCCCCAATCCCCACTGGGGCAAAAATGTTCATACATAATGCAAAACACAGTACGTCATTCCAGAGTGCACAGCCTTGAAATGGTACTGGCTTTTCCTCAAGGTATGAAGGTTAAAAAAAAAAAAAAAAGTCACCACATAAACCTCTGGACTTCCACGCTATTTGGCCATTGAAATGTTTTGTTTAGAAAAAGAAAAAAAGCTACCACGTTCACAGCAATATAAAAAGCCAACTCAAGGAGTTGTCTGGAAAGAGAGGGAAATGGAATATTGAGCCTGTATATTAAGAATGGCAAAATAAAGTAACGAAATTCTAGCAGCTTTTGAGGAACGGTGACTGCTAATAAGCACACAAAATACATTAAGGTCCAGAATACTGGCTTTGTTTTTAGGGTATCAAAAAAACTCCAGCCAGCAAATATATAGGCTGGAACTAATGCATATTTAACAAGTTCGTGCCTTTGGAAGATTTTTCTCCAGACATAGAACGTGTAATGTCTGTTATCTGCTAGTAAATACTTATGAACGTAGGTAAATTTCCAAACCAGGAATAAAGAGATGATGGTGATTAAGCCGTACTGCACGGGGTGTTTCCGCAACGACAGCAGGAATTTGCTGATTTTAGTAGGGGTCAGTAAGTGAGGGAAGGAAAAAAAGACAGTAAAGGACAGAAAATAGAACAGCTGAGGAAAGTGCAAACAGGCTTCATGGCTACTTCTGTCACCAACAACTATCCCACCATTGACGAAGACAAAAACAAAGAACGCAGTGACTAATATTATATATGGCCAAGTCAAAGCAACAAGCGTAACTAAGTTTTTAGGTGATGTAAGATATTCAATAAGAAACTTCAATACTCTGATCAGATCTGGAAACGATCCTTTCATGGCAGAGACCTTTTCATCTTTCTTTTTCAGTAACTCTGTCTTCCAGGCTTCATTCAGCTTCTCTGCAACAACATTTCCAGCACAAAAAACTGTCCACACAATATTTGTCTGGCGAAACATGAAGCCACAAAATCCGAGCAGGGCTGAAGCTTTATGGTTACCATAAAGGCACATTAAATATGCAAAGAGAGTAAAAAATACTGATCCCGGGTCCGTATAATAAAGGAATGTAAAAAAATAAAGGGTGGGAAATATTGCAAGAGTCAATGAAGACAAAATTCTCTGGAAACCAGACACAGCCTAGAGAAAAAGCAGAAAAACGTGATTAGTAACATCCAATAAATTTATATATTATTTGTGAGAATTCAATTACCACAATATAGCATCTCTAATGCTCTTTGATTCCATTGCTGCACGAGCACACACGCTACAGTTTTGTTAAGCTCCTGATATGTTAATATAGAGTGCTGGATGATACAATGGTAAAAGACAAACAAGAACATGGCACGTTATTGCTGGTGAGATAAAATATGGCGAAGAAAATGCACCAACTCCTTTCATAAGTCAAGTGTTCACGTATTTGTGGTATCAAAATTATTATGAGAGTGTAACTGCTCCCATACCTAGGATAAAAGAACTATAATAGCCAAAATAAAGAGGGAAAAAAGAAAAAATCAGTTCTTCACCAGGTTCTGTTTGTGAGACAGCAGAACACATCATTCTGTGCTTTTACTATTGCATCTTTTGAGGCCAGCACACAAAAGAAGTCAGTCCAAGTTTCTAATCTTTGGTGCAGCTTTTGTTTCTTATTTTCATTATAATCCACAAATTTAAAAAAAAAGAAACTTTAAAGAAGGTAGGAGATCATACAGTTAAAAACTTCTCCCAAGTATGCCACTCACTACATGACATGATGCAACTCACAGCGTTAAAAAATGCTGCGTGTTCCTGAAGGATGTAGTCTGAGATGAAACAGACGGTCACCACCATACAGAAAGGAGAATACAGAAAACGCTCAGAGCTCAAAGAAGTGGCAACAACACAAGCGCATTTTCTCGCACTTATACTACTATCAAGAAACTTTTTGTTTGCTTATATGTATATTCCCACTTCCAAACATAAACTTCTTTGTACCAAAAAAAGAAACAATTTATTGAATTTGACCTAATTCTGTGTCTTATCCTGTGCTTAAACATGAAGAGTCTTCTGTTGGATAACACATCAGAGGAAGTTTTCTTTACAGTAGCGGAATCCTTGAATTAACAGAGAGCAAGAAAAAATGTTCTTACGGTTAAAAGAGAAACAAAAGAACTTTCTATAAGGCAAAAGGTTTTGAATAGGCCATTAACCACTGTAACAATTTACCTACAAGAGTGGTAGATACTCCATCATTTTAAAAATACAATAGTCTTGTATCCAAGTTGGAATGTTATGTTCTGGATGGTTAGCTACACAGGTAAAAAAATGGCTGGATCACAGTGTACCCAAAGATTACAAGAATATTGCAGAGATCTGTACTAGGACCTGTCCTGTTTAACATTAACATTTGTCAATGATCTGAAACAACAGAGTACAACTTCATCACGTTTGTAGGTGATGCTAACCTGTGGAGACTTGGGCAGTATGCTCAAGGGAAGGGCTGCCACCCAGAGTGACCTGCACAGGCCAGAGGAAGGGTGCAACAGAAATCGTATGAAATTCAACAAGGGCCTATAGTAAATGCCAATATCTGGGAAAGCAAACCCCCTACAATGACACAACCTGAGCATGGAGTAGCTGAGGATCTTTGGAAATTGACCTGGGGTTCTCAGCAGGCAGCAAGGTGAACATAAGCTAGCAGGACACACTGGCAGCAAAGGAACAGCAAGAACCTCTTGAGCTGCTTTAACAATAGGGTAGCAGCAGATCAAGGAAAGTGACTATCCCTTTTTACTCTGTATTTGTCAAGCTGCATTTAGCATACCGTTTCCAGTTTTGTGCTTCCCGATACAAAAAAGCCATCACTAAACTGGAACAGGTTTAGGGCTACCTACAAGCAAAGGGCTACCAGGAGAGACAAGGGCTGAAGCACGTGGCCTGGGAGGAGAGGCTGAGAGGGCTGGCCTTGTTCAGCCTGGAGAACAGATGGATTTGGGGTGTCTGAACAGAAGCCTACCAGTACCTATAGGGAGGTTAAGGTAAGGCGAGGTAAATGGAGCCAGGATTCTCAAATGGCGCATGGTGGGAGAACAAGAGACAACGGGTATAAGCTGAAATGAGAGGTTCAGATTGGATGTAAAAAAATATATATAAATAAAAAAGAACCCCCCACACACACTCCTTTTCCACCACTAGGACAGTCAGGCAGTGGAACACGTTGCCCAGTGCGGTTGTGCAGTCACTCTCCATCCTTGGAGATTTTTCCAGTCCCCACCCTGAGCAACCTGGTCTGATCTCAGGGCTTGCCTGCTTTGTGCTAGAGACCTCATGAGATCCCTTCTAACCTGGATTATTCTCCAGTTCTAAATATTGACATCAAATGTGGTATATCTCTAAAGAACACATTTTGGCTCACACACAGCTTACAGGGCTGCATTCAGGATTCGGTGGTTAAAAGTTTTGTGGAGAATCTTAACCAACTAGATGAGTTAATATATAATAATTTTATATGTGTATTTCAATGGGACTACTTACAGTAACGCGTAACGCTAGTTTTAGAGGATCACACCCTGACAGAAGAAGAAATACGTTTTTAAAAGAAAAGGAATGACCAAAGTGGTACGAGTACCTGCTGGTATTTAAAACTGACAGTAGCTCATATACGTAGTGAAGTAAACACACAGAGTCAAGAAGTTGTTTGTACTAGTGCATAAAATAACCCAACTTTGACCGTACCTTATTTTTCTGGTGAATCTTTAGGAGCAGTAAATAGAGCAGGTAGAAGTTGCCAGCGCTGAAGAGGAGGTTGATAAAGCGGAGCATTCCTGTGGAGCACACGATGGGACCCGTCCACCCGAAGAGCCACGCTGCGGGTTTCACCACACCGACCGACAGCAGGTACAGACCCGGCAGGGTCGTGATCATGGGGTCCCACTGGAGGACGGGGACAAGCAGAGAGGGGGGTCAAAGGTGTGTGACAGAGACCTGAGACGTGCAGCAGGGTTAGGATATGCAATGCCAACCCCTTCTCTGTTCCATCGTGTGGGTCAGGGAGTTATTATGGTCGGAAAGCCCTCCAAGACCACCTGGTCCAACCACCCCCTGCCACCAGTGCCACCACAAACCCATGTCCCCAAGCACCACGTCCAACCTCTCCTCGAACACCCCCAGGGACGGTGACCCCACCACCTCCCTGGGCAACCCGTCCCGATGTCTGAGCACTGTTTCTGAGCAGAAAAGGCCGTTTTGTTGGACTTCAGGCATTCTTAGCCCGAGATCTCCTTCATGGTTGACCTCGCGTCCCACCGCCCTCCCTCGCCCCACCCGCGGCAACAACCGGGCAGGGCTCGGGGAGCAGCCGAGCCCGGGGGTGAGGAGGGAGCCGGGGCACCTGCAGGAAGCTGCCATGGCAGTAAGCTTGTGCCTGGGGGACGTGGAAGACCTCGTCCATGTAGGGCTCCCGCAGGCGGCGGTTGAACGCCGCGAAGAGCAGGGAGGAGACGAGGAAGGCGCCGCTCATGGCGGCGGAGAAGCCGTACGCCTCCACGCCCTCCATGCTGCCGGCCGGGGAGGGCAGGACGGACAGGGGGAAGGAAGAATGGATGGAGGAAGAGGAGGAGGAAGAGGAGGAAGAGGAGGAGGAAAAGGAGGAGCCAGGCGCAGGCTCCCGCTGCTGTGCAGGAAGGAGCGAGGGGTGCTGCAGGCGGATCGAGGGTTTTTTGGGGTGCCACAGCCGATTTTTCCCCCTTCACCAGCACCCCTAGGCGGGTGCATGCAGCGAGGGCTCTGTTTGCTGTGAGAAAAGGGCGAAAGGGTCCCAGAGCCCTGCGGGCAGCAGCCCCCCGGCCGCCCAGCCTCGGGCATGGAGGCACTCCGTGAGGCGGGGCTGGAGCTGCAGCAGGAGCTGGAGCTCTTCCCCGGCCGCAGCGTCGCCCTCCTCCTCTTCACCGGCGTGCAAAACGCGGCCGCCCTGCGGAGGAAAGCCATGGAGGGGGCCGTGGAAGGAGCGCTCCTCAACCCCGCCATGGTGAGGGGGGCCCGGTGCTAGCGGGGGGCGGTGCGGAGGGGCCGCCATGGCGGGGCCGCCACGGGCCCGCTGCCCCCGCGGGGCCCCTCAGCGTCGTGCGAGGGCTCTTCTGTGTAAAACATGCTGCCCGGGAAGGATGAGAGGCATAAAAAGGTGTCTTCTTGGTTCCCGTGGCATCTGATTTCCTGGAGTTATTTAAATGTAGCTCCACCTGCGGAATGTAGTACGAGCTGAGCGCTGCTCTTGTCAAAAATCAATGGTGTGCGGAGCCTTAGTGCTCGTGTAAACTCCTGACTACTTTCTGAACCGATTGTTTGTTGTCACTAGAATTAGAAAAGTAGTAGTCATGAAGGAAAAAAAGATTTGAATCTGTCAACTTACCAATAGGAGATTTATTAACACAATTCTTTTTCATAAGATTCCAGTAATCTGACTGAGAGTGTAATCATTATTTTTACGTCAAGCATTGCCCCTCTCAGTAAGCCATCCCATTTGCTTTGGAAGAACAAGAATTGCTAAAAACATGCAGTACACTTAATTGCTCACTCTTAAAATTACAGACTCAAGCCATCAAAGTTATTTGGTCAGTTGTTTTTTTTTTCAGCATTCAAAATATTGTGTTGAATTTCTGTTTAATTTATGTCATATTTTACAGATCGTAGATCCTTTTCAAGTTCTTGTGGCAGCCAACAAAGCAGTTCATCTACAAACGATAGGTAAAATGAAGACCAGATCTCTCAACGCAGAAATTATTTTCAGCCTTTCACCAAACAACAACGTAAGATTTACTGATCAAATATCATTTTTGCCAAAGAAGCTTGCTAATATCCCTGCAGCCAGACTAAATACAGGTATTCACCTAACAGTTTACCTGGAATACTAATAGAAGTTACTGTTATATTTAGTAACACTAATATGCTGTTATTTCTTGTAAACTCATCAGAATTCCATTATCATAAAATGTTTGTTAATTTATACTTAGGGTTTATTTGATCCAGTAGCTGAAAAGATTGTTTAGATGTAGTGAGAAAATGACTTGCAGTATTTTGATCTTTTCCATCTTTTCTTAGATTTCAGATGCATTTAAAAAGTTTGGCATTTCAGACAGCGACACAGCAGTACTCATTGTTCTGGTTGTAGACAGAGAAAAACCTCTAAATCTGGAAGATATAGCATCTCATGTAGAAGGCCAACAGGTTGCTCTAGATGAACTTTCCCAACTGACAGACACTGCCAAAGTTAAAAAGGTATGTAACCAAAAGAGGCGACTGGGTCAGGTAAAATAAATTACATAATTGTCTATTTATATGCCTCAATTTACATAATTCACATAGGGTTTGTTTTTCTTTAGTATGACTGAAAACTTGTTTTACGTGCAACTTTTTCTTATAATGCTTTTTTACTCTGGAAAAAAAGTTGTAGTCCTAATGGTCTGACATCACAAATTTTAAGTTATCAAATTCTTAATGTTGTCAGAAAATTGAAACATAAAAAATGAATTCCAGATTCATTTTGATTTTCAAGGGGGAAATCTTTGTGTGTGTGTACTTTTTTTTAATGTATGCAATGGACTTTTCTTCCTGCCACAGCTTTCATGTTTTTCTTTCTTTTTTTTTTTTTTTTCCTGCAGATGTACAAGATCACTCCACAGGAAGAAAAAATGGGCACCTTATTAGACAGTATTGTTTGCAGAATGTCAACAAAAGATGTTTAGTGAAAATGTGGAAATAAATTTATTTTGAAGGAAAAAGTGGACTTCTTAAGATGTAAAAACACTTTGCAACTCTGTATCTCAAGACAATATGGTGTAGTACTGAGTTGTTGGTTACATCTGGGCTTTAACTGAGTAAGCTTGGATGTGGGGGTTATCCTGGCTGTATTCTAAGCACAGAGATTAGTTTGGCTGTGCTAAGCAGAATTTGCCATTGACAAATTGTCCATTTTCCTAATGATAAAAAATGACTTTTGCCAGAACCTTAAGCTGATCGTAAACAGAAAGTTTGGAAATTTGTACTTACTTTTTTTCAGCAAATGTTCTGTTATCCCTCCACAGGTTTCAGATATTTTTTATCAACCCTACCTTGATTTGATACCTGAATTTGATGCACAATATCATTTTAATGATACTACTACCAGATTTTTCTGTCTCTGTAGTGTGAAGTATTGCTGATGGCCTAGGAAAATGGAAAGTTTCTATAAACTGTCTTCAGTACTGTCTTTCTACTAATGGGACAGTCATTGCCCAGCGTTTGTGAAAAGGAATGGGGGTGCATCATTGCACCCAGCAATGTGTGCAGAGGTGCAATGTGGAGCAGGGGTTTCAGTGATGTGCTGAGGAATGATTAAGGTCAGTATGGATGGTGCTAACACCAGACAATCTGATGTCATCGGATGCAGTGTAGTGCTGAAATACTGCTGTATTGCTGAGTTATTTTAGTGTTAGGTTTAAAGGATAATGAGAGCTTCTTTTACTGTCTAACACCGAGTGGCAGTGGTGACATCTGAAAGCTTGGTTACAGGTACAGAATTCACAGAGAAGTTTGCACCATAGATTTACTCACTTTACATTGTAGATATAATTTACGTGGCATTCCAATAGAATTGTTGAAATAATTTTGCTTTGCAGAATCACTGTTAGGAAAGAGCATCAAAGGCAGCTAAAGAGAATGCTGATTTCCAGCAGTCACCAGGTCCGAGTGCCCTCGGTATCATTTGATCACAGGCACCCTGATTAAGACAAATGACTGTCCTAATTAGGTAGCAGTCTGTAGTTTACTGTTATGCTTTATTTTTTTTCTGGGACATGTATAAAACTGTATATTTCTCTGCATTTTTTTCCTGATGTTCTGAGTTGTTAGGTTTTTTGTACTGTAGCCCTGTGATGGAAGCATTCTTATGACATTATTATGGGTTCAAATCCTTCTTCTGGATTGTTGCAATTAGAGATCTTAAAGAATTGGTTAGAGGTCCTTTGCAGCCATTTTTTCTAAGATATAGCCAATATTTAGCAAATACCAAGGAAATGACAAGGTTTATCAAAATAAAATATTCAAGAGAAGTGGGTGTGCTGGTTTCTTGATATGAAAATGGTTTTACAGAATGTTTTATCCTTTCTAAAGGAAATGTGAGGCATTATTAAGAGATGGAGCTTAGGCAGGGCTTGAGTCTTCCTGAAATAAAATATGAGTAACATCAGCATGGCAGAATGACTGTGGAAAATAAAAGACTTGTTTTCATTTTCTGACAGTCCAGTTGATACATGGAGTATGTCATCAGATTTGCTGGCTCCACTGCTGACATCAGTTTGAGTAGTTTAGAATAACAGCAGACAGGTATGCTTAAACCACAGCCTTTTTTGAACATGTATAAATCATCAGTCTGGTCTGGTTAATATAAAAGAAATATTAATGAAAAGATCACTGTGTAATAACTGATACACACATTCCAAACCTGGGTTCTCAGTTTTTAATTCTAGTGAGGTTACTTCATTGGTGCAGAACCCATAACTAGTTTGTTACTGTTGTCATGTATTCCAAGTTAAATTATGAAAGTGATTTACTGTGGGAGCTGTTTTCCTGGGTGGATTTCCAGGGAACGATTTCAAGAGCTGTAGACTCCATCACATTCGGTCAGAAAGGTGATTTGGATCTGTTGACAGAGAGGGACTATGCCATCACCCTACATGACCTCATTTTTCCCCTAGTCGTGACTGCGTTATCAACTTATTTACAAAAATTCAAACAGTAATAAATGTAGATTCTGTTGACCCTGCAAATTTCTGTTTGTCTTTCTGAATACATTAAATATTACTAAGTTTATGCCTATAATTTAACTGTTAATCAACTACCCCTTCTATCCAGCATGGCAAAAGTTTATGGAGAAAAAATATTTAACACTTTGTAGCTTAAGGTATTGATGCATCCAAGCCAGCCTAGATACATTTAACAGCTTAAGATGCTATTTGATGGTACATGTAAGCCAGTCTAACATTTTGCTCTGGCTGGAAGGCCGTGGTCTGATTTCCTCTTTGATTCACATTCTCACAATTTTCCTTGTTTGTCCTAGCATGCGTTGGACTAGCTACATCAAGTCAATTTGCAGAGCAGTAATCCAAAAAAGAAGTGGGTAGCGTTCTGCCACATTAATGTGCCAAATCAGGAGAGCCAGCATGGGAGCAGTGGAAGAGAGATCACCCTAGATGTCCCAGCATTTCCATGACTGTTCCCAGCACTGCCTTAGCCACCAAGTGCAACTCTGCTTCTTTGTCAAAAAACGTGGCTAGCCACTGGGGCAAAAGTGAGCCACCAGTTGCCATGTTCTCTCTCAGGGTGGTGCCATTTGTTCTGCTAGTAATCTTTAATATGACTTCTTTGTTTCATTTTACAGAATCACAGAAAGGCTGAGGTTGGCAGGGCCCTCTGGAGGCCAGCTGCTCCAACCCCTGCCCAAGCAGGGACACCCAGAGCAGCCTGTCCAGGACCATGTCCAGATGGCTTTTAAGTATCTCCAGGAAGGGAGACACCACAGCCTCTCTGGGCAGTTGAATTTCATTTATTAGGAAACTTAATTCTGTACCGTCTTTCACACACAAAGAAATCTTACACGTAGCCCTGTCCTAGCTCTGAAAAGTTCAGTACTAGATTGCTTTCAGAGTCCTCAGTATAACTGAGAGTATTTTTCCACAAAGCTCAGTTACGAAGTCTGAGAAATGATTATGGAGGAATCTGAAAGAGACGTCTTGTGATCAACACCAGTGCAGCAAGTGATTATTCCCCACTCTCCTGCATTGCAATCCTTAGCTAAGGAGAGCAGGGAAGAATCATAAAGACAATCTTTTCATAAGGAGACTATGAAAGCTACATTCTGCCTTCTCAACTTCATGCTGATCCCCTCCCCCGCCCCCCCTTTTTTTTTTTGGTGGTATCTCAAACTCCAGATACTTCTATGTGTTCTTCAAGAAAATAGAGATTTTTTTTTAATGAAGGTGAAAATTTGGTGGTTTTCAAAACATTGAATGTTCTGCTGTGTCCTCTGAACTTTCATGTTTTCCTCTATCATAAGGTGAGAGAGAGGAAACAACCATTTTCAATACCCTATTTGGGTCTCCAGCGCTTCACAGGCAGGATTATATCTGCAGTATTTACAAAATCAGTGAATAAATCCTAAACTCTGATGTGCAGCCAATTGCTCTAGCCTTGTGTGTGTGGTGTGCAGCCAAATCCTCCAGCTCTGTTTGTGTGTGTGTGTGGTAGTGTTTCTTTTTGTTTGTGCCGCCCTTTCACTATTATGCCTGTACATGACATGGATTGAACAAAACCAGCAGCCTGTGCTTCTAAAAGTCAATGACTAAAACCTCCTATTCTGCAGAACTCACTTTCCTGATTAAATGTTTTGCAATACATGAGTTTCTTGGAGGAGGACTATGTAGCAGAATACACAAAGCTGTATTTTACAATGAGTTTATAGTTCTTGCTAAAGCCAGCAAATCATTACTGTGTGAGTTAAAGATGATGCCAAGCTTTCAGCCTAGGCAGGTCTGATACATGACACATCTGAACTGCTGGCCAGTCCATCATGTAACAGGTGTATATATCCACCTCTGGGCACGTGGTGGATATATCCCTCGGGAAAATCTCATGCTCTCATGGCTGAGGCAGTCGTCCTCCCCTCGGGGGGCTGCAGGCAGCCTTCACCTGTGGGAAGGTGAAGGATCAGAAGTATACCCACCACGTGGCTGGGGAAACGTATGTTTTGGCATAAGATGTGAGAGGTTCTTGAAGGAAAGAATCTGATGACAGATTCTTCAAGGAAAGAGAGAAGCTGAAAGCAGGCCGCCTGCACATCCAACCAATTCCTCCTGATTGTGCTCTGGCCATATCCAAAAGCAACTGTGAAGAACATAGCACAAGTGCTCCAGATTACTTTTCCTCCAGTTCAGTTTATGAGCTGCAGCCTGTGCACCTCTGAACTATGTGTTTAATACCAACAAGGTGTGTGTTTCTAAAAGCTGTGTATGTAGCTTAAGATTCTGTACATCAGGTTGTTAGAACACGTAGCCAATCTGATGCACAAAATCTTAAGCAAAGGAAAAAAGTGCTTCAGCCCCTGGTTAAGAGTTCAGCAAGTTGATTCCCTTCACCTTTAAGTGTGCCTGCTCCTTCTCTGTTCAGTGGCTTCCTCTCTTGCCATCCTAAGCCTCAATTGCCTGGTTTTATTTCCCAAGCCCTTCACAGTTTACATCTGTCTCCTCAAGTATAAGCTTGTTCTCCTGCTTTGTTATGTTTTCAAAGCAGCAGCGTCAGGCCTCCTTCTGTGCCTCCTTAAGCCAGGGGAAGCTCTCTTCATCACTTTCACAATAGGTGATTATAGGGGACCACTCCTTGACCTCTTGTCATAACCATCTCTCTCTCTCTCCTATAAAAGCTGTGATGATGGTAAACATCCAGAGTGCTGAGCCCGGTGCCCATCACACAGCCCCAGTAGCCTGTTTCTTTTCACACCGTTGTCAGGACATATAAATCCCTCTGTCTCCTCTTGTACTTAAAAGGTACATTAACAAGGGAAGGGACGGTGCTTGTGCTCTCACTTGTAATATTAATTCATCATCCGTGCTTTATGACTGGACCCGTGTGTTCTATGGTGATGTATTTAATACACCAAGCATCTGTTTTCTTATTTCCATGTGTGCTGCTCTTCAGGCAGCATTATCAAAGCTCTGCTCTCATCACAAACCACGAAGAGGTGCTGCCTTACCCAGGGTGTTTGCCTGGGGCTGCAGGAGCACTGATTCCACACTGGCCTTACAGCTGACATGGGTCTCTGCTCGGGGCTGCACTGAGCTTTGTGAATACTCCTTGGGGAACTCATGTAGGTCTTCTCAGAAACATCTTAGTTTCCATACCCCTCCTGGTTATGCATAGGTATCAGAATAAAGTACATTGTGCTTACAGGAATTATGTGAATACAGTGGTAGCTTAATCTCAATTTCCAATATCCCCTTTTTACACATCCAACAATCACAAACCCTATTGGCTCTAGCAGCACACTCAAGAGTTCACATTGAGTTGTTGTCTGCTTATAACAGCCAAAGCTTTGGGTGGTTTTTGTTTGTTTCTTTTGTATTGCTACTTCCTAGGACAGAATCCTCTGTCCTTTAATATGACTTCAGTGTTCTCCCTACAAGCATACCATCTGCCCAGATTCCAAGGAGAAAAGTCGTCTGCAGCTACTACTTAATTAAAGACATGTGTCTATCCCTAAGTATTAAATATGTCTTGCAGTTCTTCAGTTATTGGAATATTATTTGTTAGTTTAGGCAATGCTGAAATCTAGAAATTAAGCTAAGTTTGAGCTCCAAAGGCTCAGACTCTGTTCCCAACAGCTGCTGCCCTTCAGAGCTGCCTGTCTATTGACCTGAGCTCATCAGGGCTAGGTTACCATGCAAAGCTGAAGACTGAGCCACATGGTCCTGCAACAAAGGATGCTTAGAAATACAGTTTATTTCATGGGTTCATTCCTGAGGTTACACCAGAAGTTGAATGCATGCAGATGCAAGCCCTGTCATCCATATAAACTCCCTTCAGCAACTGAGATGAGAATTCGATTTGTTCAGAAGTCCTTTGTCTGCAGGATAGCTGTTTTTATTGATTGATTAATTTATTTTTTTCCTATGTTGTTGTGGCAAGGCAGATAGTTGCCTGTTCATAATGCATGTTTTACCATGGATTTGGACAGGTAATCTTAGCAGAGGTAGAGACTGGACAACGTAAGATTAGAAAATGGAAAACTGCTTTGATATACAAAACACTGACAGATAAAAATATTAGTTGAACTCTTCTTCCCAAGAGTGTATTATGCTTAGAATGTTTCATATACATGCAAAGGGTAATACAAACAAGTTTATATGTTATATACAAACAGTTATATTATTCACAACATCATGTTCTGTACATTGCCTATTAAATCGCTTCACAGCTTCAGTTCCACAAGTAGCAGTAGTCTAAGCGGTTTCAAGTACACTGTAATAGGCAGGGACCATTCTTTTTGTACCTCCTGGGTACAAATAATCAATACAAGTATTTTTTTAAAATATTTGACAAAGGAAGCGTACTGCTACTACTATATGTATGAATCCTTCCTTGTCCAGGCTCCCCAGATTGCCATCAGAAGGACCATGACGATCACTGTGTAAAGCGTAAGGACTGTAGCAAGCTCGTCTCCACGCTGTCGCTTGAACCCAGAGGTACTGTGCCAGTTCTCATGTGTGTTGGCATTGTTTCTCTGTCTGTTGTGAGCACGGAGCGAATGTATCCTACCACCAAAAGAAAAAAAAAAATCTGTTTATTAACAGTTCAATAGTGTTTATAATGAGTCCAGAGTGTGCGTTGAATCACAGGCTAGATTTGGGAAAGAGCTCTTCAAAGTGTATGGGGCTAATAAAGGAATTTCCATAATTGGAAACGCAGAACATTTACTGGCCGTTTGGTATATCTCTCCCACTGACACGCAGAGAGATTGGACACAGGCTTCTGAGAGGATGCACAGTGCTCTTATTCTCTGCTGGTGATACAGATCAGTTTTATGAGAAAAAACACACCCTTATGTTTGGCAATATTATGCAAGTGGCACGGTGAAAAAGAAAACAAACAAAAAAACACAACAATTTCTAAAGCTTTAATCCATGGGAATAAGCACAGCATATGCTGTGAGAGTTTCCCATTCTGCTCTGATGATGGGTTTCTCTCTCTGCTTTTTAGAAGGGATTACCCCCAGTGATTGATGTCACTGTATTCTTTAGCCAGCGATACCAGTCAGGAGCAAATACACAAACAGTATCTCCAGTTTTCTCTGAAGTAACATTTTATTCTCTCTGATTCGGATTCTACATTGCTTTGCCACCTTTCCCGAATGGTTTGAAAGTGGAAGTGCTAGTCTAGAGTAAGTGACCTCCAGCTATTGTTATCTCAACTGAAAAATTGCCTGTTAAGCTCCAGTGAACCTGCTTTTTATTTATTTATTTATTTATTTATTTATTTTAGAGAGAAAAATGTTAAATGCCCACAGTTTCTCTTAAATGGAACGCCAAAGGGAGATCAATCAGCCCGTGACTTTGCTGTATCTTAGGAAGGGGTCTGAGGAGTATTAGACGCATTACAGCTCTGGTTCATGCATTTTTCTGCTGTCATTATCACAAAAGAGTAGGAGTTACCAAGAAAAATGTTATGGCAGATACAGCCTATAAATAAAGAGCTTTAAATACAAACTATATTTAGATACCTATGCACTCTTGGAAGAGAGCTGTCAGAACCGAAAGAATGAAAAATGTGGAAGTGCAATCTGCAAAGGTAATTCATCAATAAAAGAGAAGTTCTGCAGCTGAGATTTTACAGGAATTCATTTTGGAATAAGAAATGCACATTTATCAATGGTATGAGGACAAGGGCTACCTTCTGTGTAATCAAAAACTAGGTAACATAGATCATGATTATCTGGCAGCATTATGTTAAGACTGCGAGGGGAATGTTGTCAATATTTTGCTTTCCCATTTCTACCTGCCCGAGGTGAATGCAGCTTACCTCCTGCAAGCATTCATGGTATCGTGGTGATTGTGTTCCCAATGAATCAGATTTCTTCTCGCAGAGAGGAAGAAGTAGTCCTTGTTTATCCTCTTCTCTCCTTTCACAAAAGAGGAAAAACTCTACCAGCAAAAAGAATCTTTCTTCCGAGCGCACCAATTTGACCAATGCTGGTCTGGGAGTGCCTGATATGTGTCCATCAAAGCTCTCAAATTGCTGGTCTTCTAAAGCTAATTTTGACACAATTCTTCAAGAAATTCCCTGGAGCAGCTCACCAGGCAAGTGATGAGTAATCCCAATGACTGACTTCTAGCTGCTGGGATCCCTTCTTATAAACAGTGGCTAGCTGCTAACATGCTGCCAGATTCATAGCAACAGAAGTAACGCACAGATGGAGGGTGCTGCTGGTGAAACATGCAGGATGAGCTGTAACTCAGAACTTTCTATTAGATCACAGGCTATTTTTGCGTAAAACTTAGTTCCTTTCTATAATTGTAATTGGGTTTAACTTGCCTAGAGTGAAATTTCAAGCTACCACCACTTAGATGTACTCTAACATTCAAACATTTTTATGAAAAATATGAATCTTCTTTAATAATTTGTTGATTTTTATAAGACAATCAGATTCTGTAAGCAGTCAATAGCCAGTATATCAGCATGAAACAAAATATTTGGGCATTTAGGATTAATAAATAAGTCACATACATCCTATTCTTCCCTGCTCACCAGAAACCATCATTAACAAGAGATTGTGCTAATAGAAAAGTTCTCCCAAAAATTGTGCATTGCATCATTAGCTGGGTTTATGATGGTTTAAACATAATAAGTCAAACAGACCAGCAAGCATTTGTAGGGCTCATTAATAGAGCGGATTTAAATTTGTAGTTTAGACAAACAGCCAAAAGCCTTTCTTTCCCAAAAGAAAATCTGAACATCATGCATTATCTTTAAAATGCTACATAAATAAAATAACCTTACTACTTATTTAAATGTTACTATAACCTTATTGTCACATTTAATTGCTGTTGACTTTAGACAATTCCAAACTTGTACTTCTGGTACGTGTGTAAAGGTTTTTGCTGTTCTCTCCCATGGCGTTTTTGTACAAATCATATTTGATTCCTTTAGTTTTCCTAAAATCATTATCAATGCCCAAATATCTCTTGGGATATCACTTACACTCTAGAAAGTCTGTTAGATAAAATTTAAAATACAAAATAAATGTTCAAGTTTACAGAATTAAATGCTTTAAATCTTGAGACAGCTTGTTTACTCATGCACTCATCTGTCTTAAAACTCTATTCCATGAATACCATTTGTAAAAAAAGGGATATTTTGTTCTCATCAAGACTGTACCAGTTTAATAGAAACTGTTTGGAGTCTCCATTTCCTTTAAATGAAGGCATTGCAACTATAAAGGCAGTACATCAGTGTGCACTTCTACAGGCGTGCATGTGCCCTTTACGTCTAACAGCTATGTGAGGAGCAACACAGTGTCCCTGTAACCAGTGGAGTTACTGAGGATATCATATTTTTCATTATTGATAATATTTTAAGCATAGAATAACAGAAATATTACAGTGACTTCAAGGTAGAAATATAGACATCAGTAAAAAATTATAGGCTTCCACTGATTTTAATCAGTTATAGCTTTTACAGATCTCCTTCTGAGGATACAGACAGTTACAACTTTTGGATTCTGCAAAAAGAGCTGGATGCCTGTATGCTTAAACAACATATGCAGAGGGGTAGATGCCACAATAAAAGCTGTACACTATTCTTTTTCTGTATATTTTTAATTTTCATCTTTTTTTTTTTTTTCTACTTTAGTCCTAAGATCATACCACTTGCTGCCTACTTGTCCCTTTCTCCATTAGTTTCATCTCATTTTTCTGCTTCTTTTTAGTCATTTCACTTTTTGACTGAACTAAGCAAAAATAAGTAGGTGGAAGCCTAATGTTAGAAGTATGAGATTAATGATTTTTGAACATGCAATAAACTTTTGAGATCTCCCAAATTTTCTTCTTCTTCTCTCTCTCTGTCTCTATCTCTCTCTGTCTCTTTCCCATCCAGTATCATAATTTTCTGTGGGGAGTATTATCCTTTATAGTGCACATGGCCCAGTTTTGTTAATACAGGCATGGATGCTTGCTCATCTTTACTGAAAAATAATCATTGTTGAGCTGTTGGTGAAACATTCTCTAGGCTAAATCAATGCAAGAGAAGAAAGGTAAAAGCATAGAAATGAAACGGTTACATCAGTAACAGTAATTCAGGGACCCATGAGAAAAACACCAAAGGGAGCAGCTATAAAATCCTGAGAGAAAAGTTGAATCCTGAAGTTGAAAGACAGCAATTCTTAATTATCAAAGATTTGTCCTTTTTACAAGCAACAAAACCAGACAATTCCCACCTCACTGACAAGCGCCTGCCAGGAGAGACTCAGCTACTTCAGAAGCCGCCTGGATGTGGTCCTGGGCAGCCTGCTCTGGGTGTCCCTGCTTGGGCAGGGGTGGGAGCAGCTGGCTCCAGAGGGCCCTGCCAGCCTCAGCCATGCTGCGATTTGGTCAGAACTGTTAACAAGCGGCGTTGTCCTGGTGTTTCTTAGTGGCATCGCTCTACTGTTAAATCTACCACGTTGATCAGACAGCCCATTTCAGCTGGCACTGACAGGGATTGACATCCAGGAACGTCACCGCTCCTTGTAACCTCCCTGCACGGAGTTTTTCCCTTGTGTGCACGCTGCCGGGGTCAGGCAGGTGACAAGAAGCGGCGATGCCATTTCAAGCCCCTGAACTTGAGGGGCGTCAAGTGTTGAGGGGTGGCCAGGTGTGTGCGCCCAAGTGGAGCAGGAGGAGCCACCGCCTTGGGCATGTGCGCCACAGCAGCCCCCGATGACCCTGTGACTCTCCAGGGGAGCCATGCTAATTGCAGGTGACTAATTACGTGTGTTTAATTTGCTAAAAACTGGCCACAGTGAGAGCCGCCGGGGTACCACAGCCAACTACAACCCCCACAATACCCCGAGGCGAAGCCGTATCGTTCGAACGGGCCAATGAGGGCGCGCGGGGGGCGTCACGTGAGGGGGCCGCCATTTCAAACGGCAGCCCCGCGGAGGTGAGGCGGCTGAGGGGGGACGGTGGGGCGCCGTGTGGAGAAGGGCCCGCTGAGGGAGGATGGGCTTTATTTTTATTATTCTTATTTTTATATATATCCCGGCTGCTTTATTTTTAATTCAGAGCTGTGGAAGGTGCTCGTAGCCTGGGGGGTGGCGGGGTTCTGGTACAGGGCTCTAGGAGCGTTGCCCACCTCAGTTGTGTGAGTCTAGCTGTAGAGCTTCGAAGTTCTTAAGGAATTTCGTTTAAGGAATTAAGGAATTTCAAAAGCTGCCGTGTTTGAAGGCTTTTTATAAAGGTTGCAGATCCATATGTATCTATATGGTCTATATCTGTCCGTATATATTCATATGGATATATCTCTATATGTTTAAACATGTGTGTATATATATATATATATAATCAGGTAATTCAATATTTTATTTCAAAAGAGTGTGGAGAGATCTTTCTCGTCGTTTATGTGGCTGTCACTCACCATTACGTATAGGGGTGTGTGATGGTTTTAGTCAGCTGAGCTCCGCCACAACTGCCACTCTCACCCATCACAGGGAAAAGGGGAAAAAATCTGATGGAAGGGGCTCCACAGGTTGGAGGGAAACTTCAGATGAAACTTAAGAAACTTCATGGTGGAATTGGACTCAATAATCCTTATGGGTCCCTTCCAGCTCGGGATATTCCATGATTCTATGATTCTGCTCTGGCACCTGGAGCACCTCCTGCGCACCTTCTGCACTGACCTTGGTGTCTGCAGGGCTTTTCCTCGTTCCTCTCTCCCAGCAGCTGTTGCATAGCAGTTTTGTTTTTTTTCCCCTGTTGTTAAATCTGCCCTCACAGAGGCATAACCATCACTGCTGGCTCTGCTTTGGCCAGCAGTGGGCCCCTTTGGAGCTGGCTGGAACTGGCCTGTATCTGACATGGGGCAGTTGCTGGGCACATCTCACAGAGGCCACTCCTGTAGCCCCCCTGCTATCAAAACCTTGCTACGTAAACCCAATACAGGATCTTCAAACAGAATGTTCACCTTACTAAGTTGGTGGTAACAAAAAAAATCTGTGACCTAATTGTTGCTTTTTAAACCCAACTGCATAGATAATTCTTTGTTTTTTAGACACTATGGAGGAAGGAAAGGAAACGATATCACGTCACTCAAGTTGTGTGATTGAAGAAAAACTGGGTATTTGCATGAGTGATGGTAGGTGGAAGAGATAATGGGATATTTTCTAGCTATTCCTCATTAAAAAATAAGACAGTTCAGATTGTTAGACCTCTTGTAATTGCTTTGCATCTTGTTCTGTGTACTTGTTTTCTTCGTTACCGGTTTCAGGCTTAAATGTCCTCAGGATGTTGTGGAACTCTGGATTTTAGAGTATGTAGTGAGGTGGGTGACACGAGGTCATCAACTTTTCTCCTATATATCCAATCTGAGCTCTTCTCTTTTCCTTATCTGCCTGCTGCTGATTCAATTAGTATTTAGTGTATATATTAGTTAACAGGAAAACTTCTTCTCATTGCCTCGTCTTAATGTTATGTAGCGGTCTAAACTGGAAGAGAACTGACTGACTGGATGTCTGGCTTGTCATCTAGCTTTTGATTATGTATTCTCAATTTGCTTGATTGGGGCTGCTGATAAGCCTTTCCCACAGTCAGATCCCATGCTCCTGGTATGGATGCTTAGAAGCATACATTACTGTCTAGATCTTTCATGATGTTTGGGAATCTGTCACAATTATGATCATATTTGCAGCTGTACCATTAAAATAATAAAAAACATGTTCAAAGAAGTTACATAAACCTGACAACTGCCATCTGACGTCGGCTTCACAGTTACAAAAACATAATGTAGTAATTTTTATTGAAAATCCACACTGACAGAATTCTAATGAAGTTGTTGTAGTTTCAGACATTCCTCTTCTGACTGATGAGAAGTTTGATTTTGACCTTTCACTCTCTCCTGCAAGGTATGTTAAGCGTATACAGGTAAATATACCTTTAACATGCACAGAACATAGCTCTTGATTGACTTATTTTTCTTTATAGTGGAAATGAAGATGAAGTTTTTGTTGGACCTTTGGGGCACAAAGAAAAATGTATTGCTGTCAGTACTGAAGCAAAAAGAAGCACTGAAAAGAGTGAACCTGCTTCTGATGAGAAACTCATGTGGAGCCCACTGACAGGAGAGAAATTTGTGGAAATTTTCAAAGAAGCGCACTTGTTAGCGCTGCAAATAGAAAGAGGAAGTAAGACTGAACAGGATAAAATAAGCCAGGC